TGAACCCATGTCAAAGGTTGCAGCTCCTTCCCTCAGCACAGCAGGAGCAGAACCATTTCACCCTGCCTTCCTCCACCTTTGTTGGGCACATTACGCCATRTATTTCCACTTTGCTGGGCCATATTCCCCAGCATCACCATCACCTCAAATTCACCTACTCCCTCTTCCCTTTTACTGCCTCCTCTGAACGTTTTGCCATTGATAACAGTCTGGCAAACCATTTGCCTTAGGTAGCTTTAACAACTCAGCTTCATAATCATGTCAAAATTGAAAGGGGACAATTTTGAGGTCTAAATATGGGCCTGAGTGGTGAACTGTGCAGGCTAAGTGAAATATTTTCCAGCTTTGGGGGTTGTGGTAGGGAGAGTATTAGAAGCTCTTCCTTTTCTAAAGGAGTGACATCTTCCACTGCTTCCTTTTGAGGAAGTGATGGGATTTCATTTAGGGGATTCTCACAAAATAAAAATAAAATAAAATAAATCAGTTCCTTCATACTCATAGGATTAACCTCACAGCTACATGAGTCTGCTTGTTACAGTAGAGGGCTACCAGATCTATGAAGTTTACAAATCTGTCCAACATTTTCATTCAGTTTACCAAAGCAAAACAGCATCTTCCTGTTTACTCTCCCAATCCCCTGTTTTTGCAGAGTTTTGCAACATTAAAGTCATTCAGCAACAGCCTACCCTGATTTTGTTCTAAAGAAAAGCTCAGAGTCCCAAAGATGTTTCTCCCAAGCCTTTCTGTGGTGGCTCAGGATGTGACCAGCTCCAGCTCCCTGGCCCTCCYGCTTGGCAGGCACCCCTTCTCCAGAGGAGTTAGGGCAGGGGGGACCCCATTCCTCCCTCATACTCATCCACAACCAAAACCTTGGCTTATGCTGTTGACTGTACATGGTTTCACATGAGCTCTCGCCTGGCTGTGAGACTGAGCAGCCGACCGCTCCGCCTCGGTGCACGTGGGTCCCAGCAGCAGGAAAGTGGGGCCGTCAGCTGGAGACTCTCCTAGAGCACYGCAGCTACATCTACCGGAGATTTCCTCTCTAAACTCTCACAAAATAAGCAAAAATCAACAATGTCAACAACWGATGTCAACAAACAAACAGAAATACAAAATGAAGCAAGCACTTAGTAAGTGATCCAGGGTAGCCTCCCCAGCAGTAAGTTAGCAAATWTATTCTAAGATACAAATAAAAAGCAGGAAAACTAAGAGGAAAACATAAAGGATCGACACTTCTGTTATGTAAGATGGTCATTGATATATGAAAAACTGGTAAGTCTGAATTACAAAAAAAAAAAATCTGCATATTAGCATGGTCTCAATAGTGTAGGAGAAGGTATATAGCACAGTGCCAGGCTGCTAAAGCTGCAGCTAGGACCAAGAAAGCAACGGCAAGAAAGAGAGTGTTGTTCTCGAGTCAAAGAAGTCAATTCAAAAGATGATGGAATTTTACAGTTGTCATTCTGGAAATATGCTTTGCAGTGGTCTCCTGCTAACAAGTAGGTGACCAGCACTTTTGGAACCAGACAACTTGCACCTTTTTCCATTTGCATTTCARAGAACTGCAGGAAGAAATCAGACCTGCAGGGACAACAACAGGAGAGCTCTTAACTCAGCCATTTTCCACTCCCAGAGGAACCATTTATGTCTCCTGCTTGTGTCTACCCAATAGAAACTCCTAAGGAGCTATTAATACCAAATCATTTTATCAGACATTAATATTATAAATTGTTACAAAATAAAATGGCATAAGAAACTTAGATAAATAGGCATATTTACATATATATATATGCATATAAAGATAGTACATCTTCTTGGTTTTTTTCCTTGATGAGGAAAGCAGGCTACCCATACAGCCAACTCAGGAAAAACATCTTTTTGAGAATGTTGTGAAATGGAAGCAATCCCTCTTTGAAACAAAATCACCTCCCTCGCTCCCATTACACTGTCTAATTAACAATTATATTTTGGAACATCTTTCAGCCATAAGCCAATTCAGTCTCTTCTGTAAAAGACTTAAGTGTAAACACGTTATCGATCTAACAGAAATTCCTTGTCTATGGCTCCAGCGTAATGCTATTTTTCCTTCCTTTTATACATATGCTAAAATCATCATGTAAAAGGATTCCTGCACTGTGTCTTCAAATCTTTCAGAGGATGATTCACTCTCTTCATTTTCACTAGGCACAGTGCTGCTTGAATTTAACTGAACATACCTTTTATATATTCAATGTGGATTCAGACCAGCATGCAGGAACTAAATGACTCTCTGCTAATAATGCCAACAGACTGAAACCAAATACACATGTAGGAAAGTAAGTATGGGTGAGAGGGAAGTGGTTGGCAGTGCAAAAGCAGCTTTTGGTTATTTGGTGGTATGCGAAAGGAACTGGGCAGCCTCCCACTGAATTACATCTTTCCATCCACCCAGTCCCCACTCATCACCATTCGGGGTTTATACACTCTTCCCCAGAGTAAATCATTTGGAGAGCAATAGGAAAAATGCAGTAGCTCAGTTAGGGTTATTCAGAGATCAGGAACCAGGGAAGAGGCCTGCAAAACCACAGACCCAACTACATAGAAGATGCTTATTTTTTTAAAAATACAAAACCACATATATTTATGTGTGCGCGTATGTGTACACACACACGCGTGTGCATTTATGTATGCATATATGTAAAGGAACTCCTTGCCACAGAGCAGATCCCCACTGCTAAAATGAGCAGGATTCATCACAAGCTGCCCCTAACGATCCTATTAAAATCCACACTGTCTTTCTGTGGAAGCAAACCCTTCCTTCTTGCCTAAGGGTTGATTTTGTAYCACTTCCATGTTTAAGAAGCTTACACACAACACATATTTGCAATGAACATCAGAGCTTTGCATTGCTGTAGTATCCCAATCAGTCTTTTCCTTCCTCTGAAGCTGTTTTATAGCTGTCAGCAGGCCTGTACCATAAATGAAATGTACTGAACTGAGTATAGAGTTGTATTATTTATTATATATTAAAATAATATATAATTTATATAATAATATGCTATAGAATTATACTAGATAATTTTATAATTTAATAATTTAAGCAATTTAATAGTATGATTATTAAATATTCTCTATAATTTTAAACTTAGATGTATCTGTTCTTGGGACTATTTCAGTTTATCTAATTTACACTAACTGCATGAGGTCCCAGCAAATCTTGTGTCTCATGTAACTCATCACCCTAGGAATAAATGCAAGACTCCCACAAGAATTAAAGATGGTGGAAGTACAGATGAGTTTCACAGGGCATAAAAAAAACTAAACCATTTTTGCCATTTGCCAAGCCACTTTTTTTTCCCCAATGTCACTTTAAGCACATCAGSCCCCTACTCTATTAAAACCAACTCAAACTATTGATAACACATCCCAGAAAAACTCAGATTAGTGACTTTTGTCACCATCCAGCTCATCAAGCTGAGCAAGTGTCAACAAGATTTTGAACACCATTTCAGACTCAAGATCAAATTCAAATCCTTTTCTAGAAAGCTTTTCTTCAGAACCACAGTTTATAATAAAAATCTCATATCCCAARAAACTCAGCAAGAGTGACAGAGAAACTTCTCTGCTTTGAGGACAATCGTGCCTTCCATTTTACCTAACAGCAAGGCTTCAGGGACTATGCAAGACTGTAAAATAAAGAGAATATTTGAAGTTTTTTCCAGTTCACATCACAAGGAATGAAGGAAAGGTTGGTTTATACCAGCTRTACCAAAATATTTTCCTCTTGCTTCTTGGGATGTACGAACAAACTAGAAATGGGAAGAAAAGGAGGATCTCTGCTTCAGAGATGTCAGGGATGGAAAGGTCTCAGTGTTCACTGATTTATTTCTGTAGTTCTTCCAAGTCTCTTTGCACTCTTATTTGTGATCCAGATATTTATGTAACACTCTGGAATTCATAAGGGACGAAGTGTGAAATATTGTCACAAGGCAGCCAAGCTGCCTCAGTACAATTCTAACATACACACTACACAGGAACTTCTTTTTAGCAGATTTTACAGGAGGGACCAGACAGGGCTGCCAACAAAAAAAAAATGGGATTAAACAGCCAAAAATATGTGAAAATAACCCCCAGAACTGCAAAATTTATCTCTACTGGGGAAATCTTTTCATTTCACTTCTTTTCTTCTTAATTCAATTTACATTTATTTCCATTGTACTTTGGAAAGTAATTTTGCACAAATCATTATTATTTCTATCAAGGTTTAGATGAACTTATTTTTACTTTATTAAAACATGTTACAAGAGCACTAACTTGAATCAAGGGAATTCAGCAATTTCATCTCTTAGGCCAAACCAGCAACGTCTCGCCTCTCAACAGAACGCTCTGTCTCCWGGTCTGTAGGTTTCTATCATTGCTGCAGCCACACATACAGTTTACACCATATCAAATATACCAGTACTAGTGGAGTGCTAACGTTCTTTACCTGAAAGCAGACTACTTCAAAACAGGTTCTGTACATGCATCTCTAGGTATATCCCAATGGCCTGAACAGTKAGGGGAAATCCCGCACAAGGGGAAYTGGAGCACTGCTGAAAACGAGACTGTTCTTTTTAAGCCTGCAATGAAAGGATACTGMTGAGTTTTCCTTTTTCCAGAATGGGTGGGCATTTAAATTTTCTTCCCTTTATTYTGTTGAATTTGAAGGGAAGAGTCGGTCTAGCTCAGACACCCTGAAGATGAGAACAACACTTACTGACCTGCTTCCTTTACCCGGTCCTGCCACATTCTTTTTCCTCTATCACAAACAGCATCCACTGCCTGTAGCAGTTCAGGGAAGAGGCAGTATTTACTATATTTGAGCATATATACACGCTATATACTATAGTATATACTGTAGTATACTTCGTATAATTTAGTTTCTGCATTTGCATCAGTATCTAAACCCTCCTGCTTTCATCTGTAGCTTTTCCCCCCTCCGTAATCCTCACAAAGGCAGCTGCCATCCACTAATTCCTTACCCACAATGTGGTCTTGACATTCTTTCCCCTCATCAGTCGGTGGAAAGATTCACAGCAGGTTCTACTCGCGGGTTGAGTTGGGCACCGCTTCTGTGTTTGTTATGGACTCAGACCAAGGGAGACCAGCTGCTCGGCCCAGCAGGAAAGCTTTGGGAGAATGACCAAAGAAGTTTCATATATGCATGGTTGTATCATATTAGTTCTCATAATCAKGCCCAGATGACTGATAATTCTCAACAAGTTTGCATTGACTGTCAGAAGTACCTGATGTCAACTATTTAATACAACTCTCTGCCTACTTAGGTCAGTGGTGAGGCTTCTTGCTCCTCGCCATGACGGTTTTTATGCCTTTGAGCCCCACGTCCTAATGTCAACCCCTCGCCAGTGATACTTACAAGCAAGCTAAGAATTAAATTGCCACTTCATTTCATTGGGGCCATTTTCCTAATCAACTAGAGAACTTGATCAAATTCCCCATCTTTGGACCATTATCTGCACTTAATTGATGCTCTGAATGCCGTCCTGCAAGCTTCCAGCCCCCCTGACAGCCAGGCACTGGCTCTGTGATGCACAGGCCTTGCTCTCAGCCTCCAATTAGCTCTTGGAGACAATCAAGATTCACAATGGAAACCGCTGCATCAACCAGACAGCCAAAAAGCTCCCTTAGCATTCAAAAAGCCCCCAAAATGGCTATCCTTGGCTCCTGAAAATTAACCACAGCTGTTGCTAACAACTAGTCCAGTTCCACAGGAAACCCACAGAACTGGCAACTTGAAAACAGTAACAAGCCTCCCCAAGCTTTTAATCATGATCCCTCAAGCAGTGCTGAGCCAAAGCGGATGCATCATCCATCCTGCAAAAACACCCTCATCACAGCCCTCTCCGCTGGCCTTCCCCACTGTCACTCAGCCCTCGCCAGCACGCGATGGTCAAACAGGGAACCATTGAAACTTTCCATTAGGATTTACAAGAAAAGTACATTTCAACATATTTCAGATACACAGCCCAAGAACAAATGCACAACACTTTATATGAAAATACTCACTGTTTTCCCAAAAACTTTGGGCCAAATCTGAACTAATTGGAACCTTATGCAATTGTTGACTCCAGTGCAAGCAAGCAGGTGTTATGTCAATTATCACTGTGAAATAGCCCAGGTTTGGGCTTGTGCTATGACAACTTTGTGSTACTGACATAAAAGACCTTAAAATCAACATAACCAGGCACAAGAGGCTCATCAGTATTGCAGGGAGGAGTAGYATATAGTCAAAGGAAAAAAAATGGCCAAGCTCTCCCCCAAACCAGAAAGTCCCAGYGACTCCCATCTCCAAGGAGCATTTAACAACTTGCACAAGTTAGAGCAGACATAACACTGCTCTAACGCATGCCAAGTAGATGGCTCTGTGCATRGCTGTGATAAAAACTGCCTAATTCAAAGCTCTACAATCCAAGATATTCTTTTGCTTTCAAAAGGTTTTCTTATCTTTTGCAAAAATAAGAGAAGTTTTTGCTTTATGCTCAGTAAAAGCAGTTGAAACTACCGCTACAGAACTGCACTGTGCACTCCTCCGGCACTGAGCAGCATTTCTAAGCTTTAGTCACAAGCCCCAACACTCCATTTGCTTTTGTCAAGGAAAAAAATAGCTTCAGTAACTCTTAGACCTGTCAACTAATGAAAACTGTGTGGACTTCCTATTTTTGGTACATGTATGGATGCTGTCTCTTTGCTTTGGGAGTCCAAAAGCCCATGGTTCAGTGCCCTGATTGCAATGGAAGCACCAAGCAGCCAAGGATCCTCCAGGACACTGCGGACACTGCCTGCCAGGCAGGCAGCACCAGGTCCTTCGGGTTCTAAGTGTCCAGGCAGGGATCACAGTCATGTTGATTAAAGATAATGGAACGTAGCCAAAAAATTGTGGGACAGTAAGACACAGYGAATATAATTTACACTACTTACATGAGTTTATGGGTGATTTTTAGAGTTAACTTCATAACATGAATCTTCTAAGGACAGAGGCAGGGGGAATTCAGCTTGATATCTTTACATGTGCTCAGGAAATGGYTGGTTTTAGTATTGTTTTGCCTATTTATCAGTTTGCTGAAGACATTTTAAAGCATTCCACTTAAACATAATTAAGAAAAAAGAGGAAAAGATCCCYACTTACATCTGAAAGCACATAAACCCTTGAAAATATTTAAGGGAAATTTCACAGAGGCAGCAAAGCTGACATCAGCTACAGTTGTACCACCTCAGAAGCTTCACATACAAAAGGGTTTCACAGCAATAGAGGCCTAGATCTGTCAGCTTGTTGTGTCACTTCAGCAGGTAAGTGAATATTGGGCAAACAACTTCACATTGGCAGGTGCCCCAGATGCTTTTCCTTAATCTGACAGTACAGATGTATACTCACATGCATATGACAATCAGTCTGGGACAATAYTTAAATCACAATCTTTACTTGTTGTTAAAGCCAGATACTACAAAATACAGTTGCATGAGCAGCCTTTGGACTCTGGCCTGTGCATTAGATGGACTTCCTGAACCCAGACAAGTGCTAGAAATGTTGCCTCATTAGGAGAAACTCTTCCCACATGCTCTGAGACTGTTTGGAATTCCAGTGCTTGGGAAATTACCTCAGTCCAAGGCATCACCTAATCTGAAACACAATCATGGCAGACATCTTTGCAGTATCGCTTGAAGAAGGTTTGCCAGTTCTTTATGGGATAAATGAACAATAAAGAGGGCGGTTGCATCATGCCTCTCAAAGCCAAAAATATTAATCCCAAAGTAGAATCCCTCCTATGCTCCATTACTCAGTCCTTGAAATACCTGTGGAAATGGTTTCTTTATATTTAAAAGCAAAATTGAGTTGTAATTTTTTAAACAAAAATACTCCCTTTTTTCTATACTTCTGTTTTCTTTAGAATACCTCACTTTAGAATAAAAATTTCATCTCACCATCAAAAACATTTTTAARTGGTCATTAATACTAATTCCAATTAAGCTTTTCAGAAATATGAAAGCATTTAAAWTAAGAGTAAAATCATCCATAGTGCAATTACAGTCAACATCCTGAAGAATTAAAATAGTGTCCACTCAATAAGGACAGAAAATAGATGTAGATGCATTTAATGAATGTGTATACTGAGTAAATATATAAATATGTATTACCTCTGGAAATGTTTCAAAGCAGACAGGAAATCCATCGTTCAAGCCCTTCTGGTTAACCAGAAGTGGAGTTACACCTCCACAGTCTTGGTCCTGTATTTTTACTAGAATTGCTTGACTTTACTACGAACATTGTTGCTGTGCAATCATCCATAGAGCTCTTTCCAGGTGGCTTAAAATAAATCAAGCTCAAATACAGAATATCTGGTGTAACAATGAAGTCCATTCTCTTGCGATTTTGTTCATGCAATTACACGCAAAAAGTTTATGGCAGCAGAGTGGGTTGGAGAGAAAAGTTAAGGCAAATTAAAACAGTTATCCTTTATCTTACGCTTTTTCCTACCACTGCATTAACCTCATATAACCAGAGCCTAAATTACAAGTCAGGAAAATGCTCACAAGAATTTTGTCTTAAAACACTAAATATTTCCACATCGCTGACATCTCAAGTCAATAAAAAGATCAGACTTAGAGAGTTCCATCAAACCAACTCAAAGTTTTCACTGCTTTTAACAGATCAAAATGAGATCCATCAATGCCAACTTCTGAAATAATTAACAGATCCAAAATAGTCTTATATACACACATATATAATACAGACATCCACTAAAACAGTGGTTTCGTAAAGATAGGCATTCCGGGTGAATTATTATGCAACAATAAAATGTTCACTCTTGGATAAGTTTAGAAACAGTCCAAATTCAACTGAATTAAACAAGTGTCCTTTTATTAATTTCAATAGGCTTTGGATCAGCCTCTGATTTATTTATCTGCATCTACCTATGAACCCCTCAGGGTGCCCACTGACTCTACAGAGGAGATATAAATCATCAAAAAGATCTTTGTTTCTCATTTCCTCTATATTAAGGAAACATGTTAAGGAAATCTTGGGCTAAGTAATTAGCTGAAGTAAAAATATTGATTTCTAAAGAAAACTCCTGTTTTTGAACATTTTTCTGCCTCTTCTGCCAAGTTCCATGGAGATATTTTATACGAGATATTATTCAAAAGTTTGCTAAATTAAACATGGGCCTCTGGGGTCTTTGAAAATTAAGCGTGGAGACAGAGATTTTTACCTACATAACATCGTGCAAACAAGCAGCAAAGCACACTTTACTTCATTGTTTTGAGTTCTTCAGCCCATTACTAAAATTTAAAGCCAGCACTTGTATTTATAGTTTCTTCCTGCAGATTTCACATTTCTCATCTTATTTTCAGTGCTGGAACTGGAACTTTTTTTCTGTTTCTTTTTCAGGTGAGAATAGATTTCCTCCTAGCATGTTATTAATACATACATTAATGTTGGTATGTTGATGATTCATGTTAATCACAATGATTAACATGAATATGTTAACACATATCCACCTGTTTGGGTGAATATTTGTATTGATTTTCTTATRGTCCTCTGAAGTTACATTTTTCTGTTCATTGTTTTTTGACATCCACTTGATGGCTACATTTTCGTCTCAGAGAACATCCAGACACTTGAAGAGCTATTTCAGATAGAGATATTCGGGTGAATCATTTGTTCACCTTCCTACTTTTTTTGATCTTTAGCACAGAGAGAGTTCTAGGGTTAGGTTTGTTCTGAACACAGCTCAGCTAAGCAGCCAGCTCTCCTTACTCCAGGAAATGGCTCAGCCAGCTTCTACACYGACTTCAGGCCAATTACAATGACATGTTTCCTAGCAAATATCCCAGTCAACCCCTTTCCAGCTAGTTGATACTTTATTCTGATTCTACTTTCAAGTTTTACTCTGATAAACTATTATATTGTTTATTAAGAGAGCTACTTTACAGCAGTTGTCAGAGATGTCAGCAGGGGCATCTTTACTCTGCTGAAAAGACATGGCATTTACAGGGCATTTATAATGATGCTAACACAGTTTGACCTTCTTTCTTCCCCTTTCTCTCACTAGGCCGGTGGCAAACCATCCTGGCCAGCAGATTCACACAATTCCCAGAGATGACCATACCA